ATCTTCCGCACTTAGTCTGACGCTGTTAGCACAGGAATTGCAATGCTTTTATATATATGAAACGTTAATTAGCTTCTGTCAGTCATGAAAAAAAGCATAATGCGACGTTTAGAACGCCGTGATGAATTACACCTTGCGTACCACCACTACAGTTTGCGGATGCATCAGGTTGAATGAATAGCTCAAGCAGGCTGAGGGTTATCTTGCAATACATACCAAGTAAGCGTCTGCTGTTGCTAAATGCATTACAGTTTCATCACTGATTATCTATCCGGGTAGTTCAATTTTTAAACTCTTAATCCCTCCTAATTGTGTCGCTTCTTTGTGAATAGCAACACCAGAAGTACAAAATTCTCATTGATGTTGAGATGGCCTCTGTCGCTGACTCGCGAGGACGGGCGGCAAAGATGTTCGCTAGCGATCTAGGACAGCTACAGGCTTCCTACCTATGTCTGTAGAGACTTTGAGATATCATGCTGAAGTTTTGGAAGCTGTCCATATCGAAAGATGATGCAGCCAATTCAAACTAAAGATACGCTCACTGGTAGAAGTGTGAGGATGGGTATTATACATTGAAGTAGATTTTTTAATTGATTGTTTCTTTCTGATGACCCTGTTGAAGAAGCAGAAAAATAGAAAAAAAAAAGAGGGGAAAAAAGTCCTTCAACAATAAGAAAATGTTTAAAAAACATTATGTATAAAAATTTGGTGATTTCTGTAGATGCTGAATAATAATGACTATTTTATTTCCAACTATACCAAGGATGGCAGAACAATCAGCAAACAGTGAAAGACTTGAAAAAATATTGGCAATGTATATGAATTGTTTATAGAGACATATGTGTGATTAGCTCTATCAGTTTTTGTCTCGCTTGACGGAGTCAAAAAACGAGACATAGGTCTGCTGTTTCCGGCGTCGGCGGCGGCATCAGCAATGTATTAGTTTGTGATTAGGTCTAGTTTATGGTGAACCACTAGTGGTAAGTCAAAGATATTTGGAATGCAGTTGTATTAGTATTGGCACATCTCATTTCCAAGGAGATTGTTTAGCCATTTACCTTCAGTCATGGTTTATTGACTTTGAATATTTGCAAAACTTACATGTTAAAGTGTTGCTATTTTAATTTCAACATTTGCATTATCGAAATTACAAAAAAGCGAGACATATCTCGGTGATAACAGTGTATATGTAAGTGAAAATAGGTTTGCAATAAAAGGACATGCAATATTTTTATTTCAAATTTCAAATTTACATTATTCTAAATGCATCATGATTGTCAGATTGTAGAAAAACACAAACCATGAATTAAAATTGATTTAAAATAATGGTTAAAAGTATAATTTTGTTACAGAATATTTATCTTATCTGAAAAAAGTTTGCTATATATATAAACAAATATCAAATGATCATTTCAGAAATACATTGCGCTTCAAGTGCTGCGTCTTTACTAACATTTAACATAGTTGTTTTTAGAGCTAGTTTTGATTGGTCAGGTTTTATTGTCTGTATCTTGCTTTTGTTCTATGGATGGTTCAGTGGTTTCAATGTATTCAGAATATGATGTGTGTTATTCAGAGGGATCTTTTAATGTAATTGTGAAATGATATACATTTGATATTTGATAGTTATTGAGATCGAAAAGACCAATATTAGTGCATTAAGCTTTCAATTTTGTTTATAATTTTCAAAATGAAGTTAAAAAACATTTTAAATCAAAATCTAATTGTATTTGACACGATATGATGCATCTGAAATCGAAAAAAATTGAAAAAATGCATTCTGAATATTAAATTAAATTTAAGCACTCCAAATAAAAGTTAATATTGTACGGTATATTGAATTGAATTTAAGCACAAGTTGAAAAAAATCCAAAAAGTATATACGTACATCGGCTTTTTGTCTGGTTCTGAAAAGCCAAGACGGCAACGAAGGAAGACCTGCAGTAGAAATAATATTTAGTAAGTCTAATGTGAATGATCTGGGTACTTCACATATTTTATATTGTTTTGACCGAACAAAAAAAAAAGATTATCTATAATTTCCAATACTTTCATTCAGTCACCTGAAACTATCATCTTCCAGTAATCTTTATAATTCACACATGAAATATATCAAACCTTGGGATAATTTTCAACCTTGGACCTTCGATACTAGGCTGTCATCTATATTTTGTCTACATTCATTAGATGAAACATTCATATGGGTGTTATCTTAAAATTAAACTTGTGTATGAATCTCATTGTAAATAGTTCCTTAAACCATTTAACATTGTGAATGTTGAAAATGTTGCATAACCATTCTTAAAAAATCCCCCAGGTTTAAAATTCAAAATTTGTAGAAATGTAGATTCTACCTTTGAATCGAATGTGAGAAGACATTTCTCCACTTTAAACAGTTAATTTTTTATTTAAAAAGTGAGGCTTGAAATTTGTTTTGTTTTCAACATTTTCTCCAATTGCCAAGTTAAAGGTTTAAATCAATGTTAGTACGACTGAAAGGAAGAGGTACTGTATTTAACTATGCTTCCAAATTTAAGAAATGGTCGATGATTTATTTTAAACAATTCGATTTTGCTCTGCATTTTTTTGTCTAGTCTTGAAAATTAAAGAAACATATAGAAAGACTGTCGACAAAGTTAATTGATTTTTAATTTTTTATTTCATACTATCACCGACATGTTACTGACTAAATGTATCATACAGAAGCCTTTCACTACAGATACTGTGTTTTTCAGTTGTGATGGAAGTGGAGTCCAAACAGGCTGAAATTAAGGGCAAGGGGAGGTAATACCCCTGTTTTACTCCTTGTACTGGAAGTTCCTTTAGTGTAGGCAATTTTTTTAATTATGTCTATTATATGTGTATAAGTATTTATATATCAGATGTCTGCTAACTAGTCTATTGCTATTATATAGAGCTTTGTAAATAAACATTACTGTAAGGAGAGTTCTAGATAATAGTTTTAAAGGGTGGAAGAAATTGTGGGTTACAACCAACTTTTTGGAAATTTTCAAAATATTGGATATGTTTTAACACACTTCTGGTACTTAATACATTATGTTATAATAATCCAGTAAATCATCATGATCGGGGGGAAAAAAATTATTGTTAGAAAAAAAATAGAAAATTTTGTGACAAACTGTATATTTTTATTTTATATATTGTGAATGAAGCAGACATTTCAGTTATTCAAGTGGACAGTGGATTTTTATAGCATAAAAACCAATGTTGAAAAACACTTAACAGCAGTAAGGAATCAATAGCAGTTCCAAGGAAGATGATTAAATAGATCTTGAACCAAGTCGGAGGCTGTACCATGAATGAAATCAGGCAAGTTTATTTAAGCCATACAATTTTTATAGATTCTATAGAAATGAACATCAGTACATAAAAGTACACAAGACAACAAACAATATGATTATTTTTATCTTTCTCATTCATAACACCAATAGCGAGTTCATTTACCATTTTCATATATTTTATAATAAGTTACGAGGTATATGAAAACAATTATAATATCAAATTATTTTGTCCAGGAACAGTTATCGTCCTTTGATTTTCGTTGTCTACAAATACAGTCTAGTGTGGACAGAGTGTTACTTGCAATTTTTTTTAATACCCTTTCCAAATTTATTTCTTCCATGTTTTATGCCTCAAATAGCAAGTAGGGGGATGAAATTACACTAAAAAAATTTGGGTCATGAATTTTAAAATAGTGATTTGGTCCAGCTAAAAAAGGTTAAAAATTAGTATTTCGGAAGCTGTCAAAAGAATTCAAGACCCCTTAACATAAAATTGTACATATATTGAGTTAGAGCTGATGAAGTTTATTATAATTTTGATATAATTTGTCCCAAAAGTAGTACACCACACTAAAAATATTATTGAGAAAGCACAGGTGGGATTTTTTTAGTAATCATTTATTGTCCAAAAGAAATGCACTACGAAATAACTGTGTTCTCGGGCCATTTTATCTTTACGGGGAGACAAGTACAACAAACAAAACAATAATGTTTCATTCAATGGGAGATTACTTGGATAATTTTTGTGCAGTTGGAAATCAAACCTTTTTCCAGCTCTTAAATTCCTACACAGACAGGACTGATGCTATATTATTGGGTAGTAAGAAACGAAAAAACTTTTATAAAGTTTAAGGATGATAGTTTAGTTAAATTGGAAAAATATATAATTTGTGTCAATTTTAATTAGGGCCCCGCCAAATGGCGGATGCCCTATAGTGATCAGTCTGTCCGTCCTCAGTCTGTTCGTCAGTCCGTCCGTAACAAATTCTGTTAGCTCTATATCTAGAGAACCGTTATGATTTCAAAGTTTATACTTGACATGTATATTAACCAACACCAGAGGGTGTGTCATAATGTATGTACAACTTCCTAGGTCAAAGGTCAAGGTCAAGGTAAAAAACTTTGGTTTTAGTTGACAACCCCATGTCCTATGGTAAAGATCGTGTCCACTCTATATCTTGAGAACCGTTATGATTTCAAAATTTATACTTGACATTTATATAAACCAACACCAGTGGGTGTCACGTGTGTCATAATTTATGTACAACTTCCTAGGTCAAAGGTCAAAGTCAAAAACTTTGGTTTCAGTTGACAACCCCATATCCAATGATTAAGATACAAATTTTTTACCACACATTATTCACAGCAGGGCCCACAGAGATGGCTCCCATCTCAATGATATCTAGTTCCTTTTAGGTTATTTCTGGGTCATGTTTCATGGTATTTGGAGTAAGGCTTGGTGGCCTACCAGGGCTCGACATTACCGTTTGTCCGATTGTCCGGGGCAAGTGGACACAGGAGTTGGGCAAGTGGATTCATCATACTACTTGTCCGATTGGACAAGTGAAAAATCGATGTCAGATGTAAAACATATCAAATTTAAGACTTATTAATTCCCAAATAATTGAATGATTGTTTTATTGATCATACAAAATGAATTAAATATCCATTGATTGAACTTATTTGAACATGGAATAGGATCCCAGTTACGGCAACCAGTCCGGTACCTACGAATGTAGTTCTTAAAAAAAATATATAACTTTTATTTAAAATGGTGTAGTTTTATTATTACACAAGTTCTGTAACTGAATGTAGATTTACTTGAAAGGGTAGGCTTTCTAGCTTGAATTTCTGTAAAAATTTTGATTGATTTAAATGTAATCAGGCGTCGGTACATAGAGTAAATTGCCTAAATTCTAGCCTTTATTCTTCCCCGGAAGTAGATGGACCTACCCTGTTGTCAATCGAAACAAATTTTGCAACGGAATGCCGGTCATGAGGCACTGAGATTGTACTTAGAAACTTCGAAACAAATGCCTAACATGAAACAGAAGTCCCAAGGTGGCTATCAAAATTATTTATTGGACAGCACCCCATTTATTTACTATGATTTTCAATGCGTTTCAATGGGGGAAATAACTGGGTCCCCGTTCCTGTCAGAGGGCATATTTTGAACACTTCAATCTGCAATTGTAAGCTTATTTTTGGGGTTACATGGATGAAATTTGGGCAGAAACTTGAAAATTCAATAAGAAAAACAATGGTGTAATTATTTTTAAAATTTGAATTAAACTTTTTAAATTAAACTGAAATTTAAATTTATGAAATTTTTAAAAAGTTTGTTTTTCAATTTAAAGTTTCAGAAGGGGTCACAGTAAGGTCATTTTGATGGTATTATGTATTCATACACTTGTAAGTTAAAATGGAGGGATTTTTCAAAAAATATCAGCAAAGAATATTAGAAAAGAGCCACCTGGCAAGAAATAACAAATGTCTTATATGGGATCAGGGGACAACAAAAGATGGAAAATATGGGCTTATTTCTTTCCAGTATCATATTTCTGGGACCTGGAAAAAGAAAAAAGCCCATAGATTCAGTTTTATGGTTTTTAATTAGTTTTTGATAAGTTTTAATATTAAATACAACACTTTATGCCATTTTATGTGTCAAAAAAGTTTGTGGGAATGCGGGTCACATTACTGAAGAGCTGCATCACATAAATAACCACAGAATATTTCGTAAACTCAGAAAATCTTGCCAGGGGCTCTCCAATTTTCCAGATTGGGGCCTGGATTTTTTTGGAAGATATATAAGGGGTAGGGCTATAGCTTATATAAACAATTTTAACTGAATGTACAACAATTTTAGACTCCTTTTTAAAGATTTTGGTGGTCCTTAAAAGGACCGTTAATTTTGTCTGTATCTTTTTCAGCAGTAGATGAATGCAGCTATATCTTCCTTTGATTTTGGAACTTTTGAAGAACAGCTTCTGGTAGGTATATTCTTCATAGCAGGTATTACTCTACCATATGAATGATCGTCCTTTATGCTTTTACAAATGCAGCATCAAGTTTTGGATCAGGTTGCCCTTTTTCATATCTATCTGTACATTTACTTCGATCCTTTTCTTCCACATGAACCTTAGTCTTCTGTCCGGTGCGTTGTAAATTTTTCTTTTTCCTTTCTGGAGTATTTTGGTTTACTTTGTTCCGTTCACACTCCCTTTAAATCTGGTCGAAGTGTTTTAATGAACCTATTGAGATTTTAAAACCAATACATTCTGCTTTTTGTCACAAGGAATAAGCTATACCATTATTCAAATTGTGAATTATTGCTGATGCCCTCCCTTCAAATTTCTAGAAAAGTTCACATTCTTTGGTAAGGAAACACTTAGTGCTCCCTGAACAGCTTCACCTTTTTGAGTATTATGATTAAATTTCATTTTCATAAATACTTCTTCGCTAAGTTTCATTTTTAAAATTCCTGCATTATTAACTTGTCTTTGTTATCCATATTCAGGTTGGTTAACTTGTTTGGACCCAAGTACATAGATCTCAGCCACCAACAGTTTGAGTGTCCACCACCACCACACACGTATGAACTAGTGGGACATTTAGAGCAGTCACAAGTATACCAACGCACAGTAGCATTAAGCATTCAGGCAGATCCAGGATTTCCCTCGACATTTGTTAAACTGTAGGAGGTGCCGTCTTGACTGGTTTTAGCTACAAGTGAGAACTTCTCTGCATCTAGCCTCTTCCATTGTATATTAAATGAACTTAGCTGACTGTTTGAAGACTAAGTCTCATGATTTATACCCTTGTTATGGGGTATGCTTCTTTGCATATGTAATTCTTATAAGATTTTTTTTTTTAATTAAAAAATTAATTATAATTAACTTTTTTTCAGCAAAATTTTTTTTTAACTAGATTTCTATACAAATAATGAATTTATCTATCATGTGCAATTTACAGAATGTAAATATCTTTTAAAATAAAAAAGTTTTGCTGATTTTAAGAATATTTTCTTCATGAATTTATGATTTTATCCGATCAATTTTCTGGTATTTGAGATGTCATAGATAAGGATCAATAACTCTTTAACTGTTGGATCAAATCTATTGAAACTTTGCACAATAACTACTGAGATGTATATCTTTATTTAATAAGTGCAGTTTTAAGTCTAGAAAAAAAATTAAAGTCTGACAGGAATAGGATCCCAGTTACGGCAACCAGTCCGGTACCTACGAATGTAGTTCTTAAAAAAAATATATAACTTTTATTTAAAATGGTGTAGTTTTATTATTACACAAGTTCTGTAACTGAATGTAGATTTACTTGAAAGGGTAGGCTTTCTAGCTTGAATTTCTGTAAAAATTTTGATTGATTTAAATGTAATCAGGCGTCGGTACATAGAGTAAATTGCCTAAATTCTAGCCTTTATTCTTCCCCGGAAGTAGATGGACCTACCCTGTTGTCAATCGAAACAAATTTTGCAACGGAATGCCGGTCATGAGGCACTGAGATTGTACTTAGAAACTTCGAAACAAATGCCTAACATGAAACAGAAGTCCCAAGGTGGCTATCAAAATTATTTATTGGACAGCACCCCATTTATTTACTATGATTTTCAATGCGTTTCAATGGGGGAAATAACTGGGTCCCCGTTCCTGTCAGAGGGCATATTTTGAACACTTCAATCTGCAATTGTAAGCTTATTTTTGGGGTTACATGGATGAAATTTGGGCAGAAACTTGAAAATTCAATAAGAAAAACAATGGTGTAATTATTTTTAAAATTTGAATTAAACTTTTTAAATTAAACTGAAATTTAAATTTATGAAATTTTTAAAAAGTTTGTTTTTCAATTTAAAGTTTCAGAAGGGGTCACAGTAAGGTCATTTTGATGGTATTATGTATTCATACACTTGTAAGTTAAAATGGAGGGATTTTTCAAAAAATATCAGCAAAGAATATTAGAAAAGAGCCACCTGGCAAGAAATAACAAATGTCTTATATGGGATCAGGGGACAACAAAAGATGGAAAATATGGGCTTATTTCTTTCCAGTATCATATTTCTGGGACCTGGAAAAAGAAAAAAGCCCATAGATTCAGTTTTATGGTTTTTAATTAGTTTTTGATAAGTTTTAATATTAAATACAACACTTTATGCCATTTTATGTGTCAAAAAAGTTTGTGGGAATGCGGGTCACATTACTGAAGAGCTGCATCACATAAATAACCACAGAATATTTCGTAAACTCAGAAAATCTTGCCAGGGGCTCTCCAATTTTCCAGATTGGGGCCTGGATTTTTTTGGAAGATATATAAGGGGTAGGGCTATAGCTTATATAAACAATTTTAACTGAATGTACAACAATTTTAGACTCCTTTTTAAAGATTTTGGTGGTCCTTAAAAGGACCGTTAATTTTGTCTGTATCTTTTTCAGCAGTAGATGAATGCAGCTATATCTTCCTTTGATTTTGGAACTTTTGAAGAACAGCTTCTGGTAGGTATATTCTTCATAGCAGGTATTACTCTACCATATGAATGATCGTCCTTTATGCTTTTACAAATGCAGCATCAAGTTTTGGATCAGGTTGCCCTTTTTCATATCTATCTGTACATTTACTTCGATCCTTTTCTTCCACATGAACCTTAGTCTTCTGTCCGGTGCGTTGTAAATTTTTCTTTTTCCTTTCTGGAGTATTTTGGTTTACTTTGTTCCGTTCACACTCCCTTTAAATCTGGTCGAAGTGTTTTAATGAACCTATTGAGATTTTAAAACCAATACATTCTGCTTTTTGTCACAAGGAATAAGCTATACCATTATTCAAATTGTGAATTATTGCTGATGCCCTCCCTTCAAATTTCTAGAAAAGTTCACATTCTTTGGTAAGGAAACACTTAGTGCTCCCTGAACAGCTTCACCTTTTTGAGTATTATGATTAAATTTCATTTTCATAAATACTTCTTCGCTAAGTTTCATTTTTAAAATTCCTGCATTATTAACTTGTCTTTGTTATCCATATTCAGGTTGGTTAACTTGTTTGGACCCAAGTACATAGATCTCAGCCACCAACAGTTTGAGTGTCCACCACCACCACACACGTATGAACTAGTGGGACATTTAGAGCAGTCACAAGTATACCAACGCACAGTAGCATTAAGCATTCAGGCAGATCCAGGATTTCCCTCGACATTTGTTAAACTGTAGGAGGTGCCGTCTTGACTGGTTTTAGCTACAAGTGAGAACTTCTCTGCATCTAGCCTCTTCCATTGTATATTAAATGAACTTAGCTGACTGTTTGAAGACTAAGTCTCATGATTTATACCCTTGTTATGGGGTATGCTTCTTTGCATATGTAATTCTTATAAGATTTTTTTTTTTAATTAAAAAATTAATTATAATTAACTTTTTTTCAGCAAAATTTTTTTTTAACTAGATTTCTATACAAATAATGAATTTATCTATCATGTGCAATTTACAGAATGTAAATATCTTTTAAAATAAAAAAGTTTTGCTGATTTTAAGAATATTTTCTTCATGAATTTATGATTTTATCCGATCAATTTTCTGGTATTTGAGATGTCATAGATAAGGATCAATAACTCTTTAACTGTTGGATCAAATCTATTGAAACTTTGCACAATAACTACTGAGATGTATATCTTTATTTAATAAGTGCAGTTTTAAGTCTAGAAAAAAAATTAAAGTCTGACAGGAATAGGATCCCAGTTACGGCAACCAGTCCGGTACCTACGAATGTAGTTCTTAAAAAAAATATATAACTTTTATTTAAAATGGTGTAGTTTTATTATTACACAAGTTCTGTAACTGAATGTAGATTTACTTGAAAGGGTAGGCTTTCTAGCTTGAATTTCTGTAAAAATTTTGATTGATTTAAATGTAATCAGGCGTCGGTACATAGAGTAAATTGCCTAAATTCTAGCCTTTATTCTTCCCCGGAAGTAGATGGACCTACCCTGTTGTCAATCGAAACAAATTTTGCAACGGAATGCCGGTCATGAGGCACTGAGATTGTACTTAGAAACTTCGAAACAAATGCCTAACATGAAACAGAAGTCCCAAGGTGGCTATCAAAATTATTTATTGGACAGCACCCCATTTATTTACTATGATTTTCAATGCGTTTCAATGGGGGAAATAACTGGGTCCCCGTTCCTGTCAGAGGGCATATTTTGAACACTTCAATCTGCAATTGTAAGCTTATTTTTGGGGTTACATGGATGAAATTTGGGCAGAAACTTGAAAATTCAATAAGAAAAACAATGGTGTAATTATTTTTAAAATTTGAATTAAACTTTTTAAATTAAACTGAAATTTAAATTTATGAAATTTTTAAAAAGTTTGTTTTTCAATTTAAAGTTTCAGAAGGGGTCACAGTAAGGTCATTTTGATGGTATTATGTATTCATACACTTGTAAGTTAAAATGGAGGGATTTTTCAAAAAATATCAGCAAAGAATATTAGAAAAGAGCCACCTGGCAAGAAATAACAAATGTCTTATATGGGATCAGGGGACAACAAAAGATGGAAAATATGGGCTTATTTCTTTCCAGTATCATATTTCTGGGACCTGGAAAAAGAAAAAAGCCCATAGATTCAGTTTTATGGTTTTTAATTAGTTTTTGATAAGTTTTAATATTAAATACAACACTTTATGCCATTTTATGTGTCAAAAAAGTTTGTGGGAATGCGGGTCACATTACTGAAGAGCTGCATCACATAAATAACCACAGAATATTTCGTAAACTCAGAAAATCTTGCCAGGGGCTCTCCAATTTTCCAGATTGGGGCCTGGATTTTTTTGGAAGATATATAAGGGGTAGGGCTATAGCTTATATAAACAATTTTAACTGAATGTACAACAATTTTAGACTCCTTTTTAAAGATTTTGGTGGTCCTTAAAAGGACCGTTAATTTTGTCTGTATCTTTTTCAGCAGTAGATGAATGCAGCTATATCTTCCTTTGATTTTGGAACTTTTGAAGAACAGCTTCTGGTAGGTATATTCTTCATAGCAGGTATTACTCTACCATATGAATGATCGTCCTTTATGCTTTTACAAATGCAGCATCAAGTTTTGGATCAGGTTGCCCTTTTTCATATCTATCTGTACATTTACTTCGATCCTTTTCTTCCACATGAACCTTAGTCTTCTGTCCGGTGCGTTGTAAATTTTTCTTTTTCCTTTCTGGAGTATTTTGGTTTACTTTGTTCCGTTCACACTCCCTTTAAATCTGGTCGAAGTGTTTTAATGAACCTATTGAGATTTTAAAACCAATACATTCTGCTTTTTGTCACAAGGAATAAGCTATACCATTATTCAAATTGTGAATTATTGCTGATGCCCTCCCTTCAAATTTCTAGAAAAGTTCACATTCTTTGGTAAGGAAACACTTAGTGCTCCCTGAACAGCTTCACCTTTTTGAGTATTATGATTAAATTTCATTTTCATAAATACTTCTTCGCTAAGTTTCATTTTTAAAATTCCTGCATTATTAACTTGTCTTTGTTATCCATATTCAGGTTGGTTAACTTGTTTGGACCCAAGTACATAGATCTCAGCCACCAACAGTTTGAGTGTCCACCACCACCACACACGTATGAACTAGTGGGACATTTAGAGCAGTCACAAGTATACCAACGCACAGTAGCATTAAGCATTCAGGCAGATCCAGGATTTCCCTCGACATTTGTTAAACTGTAGGAGGTGCCGTCTTGACTGGTTTTAGCTACAAGTGAGAACTTCTCTGCATCTAGCCTCTTCCATTGTATATTAAATGAACTTAGCTGACTGTTTGAAGACTAAGTCTCATGATTTATACCCTTGTTATGGGGTATGCTTCTTTGCATATGTAATTCTTATAAGATTTTTTTTTTTAATTAAAAAATTAATTATAATTAACTTTTTTTCAGCAAAATTTTTTTTTAACTAGATTTCTATACAAATAATGAATTTATCTATCATGTGCAATTTACAGAATGTAAATATCTTTTAAAATAAAAAAGTTTTGCTGATTTTAAGAATATTTTCTTCATGAATTTATGATTTTATCCGATCAATTTTCTGGTATTTGAGATGTCATAGATAAGGATCAATAACTCTTTAACTGTTGGATCAAATCTATTGAAACTTTGCACAATAACTACTGAGATGTATATCTTTATTTAATAAGTGCAGTTTTAAGTCTAGAAAAAAAATTAAAGTCTGACAGGAATAGGATCCCAGTTACGGCAACCAGTCCGGTACCTACGAATGTAGTTCTTAAAAAAAATATATAACTTTTATTTAAAATGGTGTAGTTTTATTATTACACAAGTTCTGTAACTGAATGTAGATTTACTTGAAAGGGTAGGCTTTCTAGCTTGAATTTCTGTAAAAATTTTGATTGATTTAAATGTAATCAGGCGTCGGTACATAGAGTAAATTGCCTAAATTCTAGCCTTTATTCTTCCCCGGAAGTAGATGGACCTACCCTGTTGTCAATCGAAACAAATTTTGCAACGGAATGCCGGTCATGAGGCACTGAGATTGTACTTAGAAACTTCGAAACAAATGCCTAACATGAAACAGAAGTCCCAAGGTGGCTATCAAAATTATTTATTGGACAGCACCCCATTTATTTACTATGATTTTCAATGCGTTTCAATGGGGGAAATAACTGGGTCCCCGTTCCTGTCAGAGGGCATATTTTGAACACTTCAATCTGCAATTGTAAGCTTATTTTTGGGGTTACATGGATGAAATTTGGGCAGAAACTTGAAAATTCAATAAGAAAAACAATGGTGTAATTATTTTTAAAATTTGAATTAAACTTTTTAAATTAAACTGAAATTTAAATTTATGAAATTTTTAAAAAGTTTGTTTTTCAATTTAAAGTTTCAGAAGGGGTCACAGTAAGGTCATTTTGATGGTATTATGTATTCATACACTTGTAAGTTAAAATGGAGGGATTTTTCAAAAAATATCAGCAAAGAATATTAGAAAAGAGCCACCTGGCAAGAAATAACAAATGTCTTATATGGGATCAGGGGACAACAAAAGATGGAAAATATGGGCTTATTTCTTTCCAGTATCATATTTCTGGGACCTGGAAAAAGAAAAAAGCCCATAGATTCAGTTTTATGGTTTTTAATTAGTTTTTGATAAGTTTTAATATTAAATACAACACTTTATGCCATTTTATGTGTCAAAAAAGTTTGTGGGAATGCGGGTCACATTACTGAAGAGCTGCATCACATAAATAACCACAGAATATTTCGTAAACTCAGAAAATCTTGCCAGGGGCTCTCCAATTTTCCAGATTGGGGCCTGGATTTTTTTGGAAGATATATAAGGGGTAGGGCTATAGCTTATATAAACAATTTTAACTGAATGTACAACAATTTTAGACTCCTTTTTAAAGATTTTGGTGGTCCTTAAAAGGACCGTTAATTTTGTCTGTATCTTTTTCAGCAGTAGATGAATGCAGCTATATCTTCCTTTGATTTTGGAACTTTTGAAGAACAGCTTCTGGTAGGTATATTCTTCATAGCAGGTATTACTCTACCATATGAATGATCGTCCTTTATGCTTTTACAAATGCAGCATCAAGTTTTGGATCAGGTTGCCCTTTTTCATATCTATCTGTACATTTACTTCGATCCTTTTCTTCCACATGAACCTTAGTCTTCTGTCCGGTGCGTTGTAAATTTTTCTTTTTCCTTTCTGGAGTATTTTGGTTTACTTTGTTCCGTTCACACTCCCTTTAAATCTGGTCGAAGTGTTTTAATGAACCTATTGAGATTTTAAAACCAATACATTCTGCTTTTTGTCACAAGGAATAAGCTATACCATTATTCAAATTGTGAATTATTGCTGATGCCCTCCCTTCAAATTTCTAGAAAAGTTCACATTCTTTGGTAAGGAAACACTTAGTGCTCCCTGAACAGCTTCACCTTTTTGAGTATTATGATTAAATTTCATTTTCATAAATACTTCTTCGCTAAGTTTCATTTTTAAAATTCCTGCATTATTAACTTGTCTTTGTTATCCATATTCAGGTTGGTTAACTTGTTTGGACCCAAGTACATAGATCTCAGCCACCAACAGTTTGAGTGTCCACCACCACCACACACGTATGAACTAGTGGGACATTTAGAGCAGTCACAAGTATACCAACGCACAGTAGCATTAAGCATTCAGGCAGATCCAGGATTTCCCTCGACATTTGTTAAACTGTAGGAGGTGCCGTCTTGACTGGTTTTAGCTACAAGTGAGAACTTCTCTGCATCTAGCCTCTTCCATTGTATATTAAATGAACTTAGCTGACTGTTTGAAGACTAAGTCTCATGATTTATACCCTTGTTATGGGGTATGCTTCTTTGCATATGTAATTCTTATAAGATTTTTTTTTTTAATTAAAAAATTAATTATAATTAACTTTTTTTCAGCAAAATTTTTTTTTAACTAGATTTCTATACAAATAATGAATTTATCTATCATGTGCAATTTACAGAATGTAAATATCTTTTAAAATAAAAAAGTTTTGCTGATTTTAAGAATATTTTCTTCATGAATTTATGATTTTATCCGATCAATTTTCTGGTATTTGAGATGTCATAGATAAGGATCAATAACTCTTTAACTGTTGGATCAAATCTATTGAAACTTTGCACAATAACTACTGAGATGTATATCTTTATTTAATAAGTGCAGTTTTAAGTCTAGAAAAAAAATTAAAGTCTGACAGGAATAGGATCCCAGTTACGGCAACCAGTCCGGTACCTACGAATGTAGTTCTTAAAAAAAATATATAACTTTTATTTAAAATGGTGTAGTTTTATTATTACACAAGTTCTGTAACTGAATGTAGATTTACTTGAAAGGGTAGGCTTTCTAGCTTGAATTTCTGTAAAAATTTTGATTGATTTAAATGTAATCAGGCGTCGGTACATAGAGTAAATTGCCTAAATTCTAGCCTTTATTCTTCCCCGGAAGTAGATGGACCTACCCTGTTGTCAATCGAAACAAATTTTGCAACGGAATGCCGGTCATGAGGCACTGAGATTGTACTTAGAAACTTCGAAACAAATGCCTAACATGAAACAGAAGTCCCAAGGTGGCTATCAAAATTATTTATTGGACAGCACCCCATTTATTTACTATGATTTTCAATGCGTTTCAATGGGGGAAATAACTGGGTCCCCGTTCCTGTCAGAGGGCATATTTTGAACACTTCAATCTGCAATTGTAAGCTTATTTTTGGGGTTACATGGATGAAATTTGGGCAGAAACTTGAAAATTCAATAAGAAAAACAATGGTGTAATTATTTTTAAAATTTGAATTAAACTTTTTAAATTAAACTGAAATTTAAATTTATGAAATTTTTAAAAAGTTTGTTTTTCAATTTAAAGTTTCAGAAGGGGTCACAGTAAGGTCATTTTGATGGTATTATGTATTCATACACTTGTAAGTTAAAATGGAGGGATTTTTCAAAAAATATCAGCAAAGAATATTAGAAAAGAGCCACCTGGCAAGAAATAACAAATGTCTTATATGGGATCAGGGGACAACAAAAGATGGAAAATATGGGCTTATTTCTTTCCAGTATCATATTTCTGGGACCTGGAAAAAGAAAAAAGCCCATAGATTCAGTTTTATGGTTTTTAATTAGTTTTTGATAAGTTTTAATATTAAATACAACACTTTATGCCATTTTATGTGTCAAAAAAGTTTGTGGGAATGCGGGTCACATTACTGAAGAGCTGCATCACATAAATAACCACAGAATATTTCGTAAACTCAGAAAATCTTGCCAGGGGCTCTCCAATTTTCCAGATTGGGGCCTGGATTTTTTTGGAAGATATATAAGGGGTAGGGCTATAGCTTATATAAACAATTTTAACTGAATGTACAACAATTTTAGACTCCTTTTTAAAGATTTTGGTGGTCCTTAAAAGGACCGTTAATTTTGTCTGTATCTTTTTCAGCAGTAGATGAATGCAGCTATATCTTCCTTTGATTTTGGAACTTTTGAAGAACAGCTTCTGGTAGGTATATTCTTCATAGCAGGTATTACTCTACCATATGAATGATCGTCCTTTATGCTTTTACAAATGCAGCATCAAGTTTTGGATCAGGTTGCCCTTTTTCATATCTATCTGTACATTTACTTCGATCCTTTTCTTCCACATGAACCTTAGTCTTCTGTCCGGTGCGTTGTAAATTTTTCTTTTTCCTTTCTGGAGTATTTTGGTTTACTTTGTTCCGTTCACACTCCCTTTAAATCTGGTCGAAGTGTTTTAATGAACCTATTGAGATTTTAAAACCAATACATTCTGCTTTTTGTCACAAGGAATAAGCTATACCATTATTCAAATTGTGAATTATTGCTGATGCCCTCCCTTCAAATTTCTAGAAAAGTTCACATTCTTTGGTAAGGAAACACTTAGTGCTCCCTGAACAGCTTCACCTTTTTGAGTATTATGATTAAATTTCATTTTCATAAATACTTCTTCGCTAAGTTTCATTTTTAAAATTCCTGCATTATTAACTTGTCTTTGTTATCCATATTCAGGTTGGTTAACTTGTTTGGACCCAAGTACATAGATCTCAGCCACCAACAGTTTGAGTGTCCACCACCACCACACACGTATGAACTAGTGGGACATTTAGAGCAGTCACAAGTATACCAACGCACAGTAGCATTAAGCATTCAGGCAGATCCAGGATTTCCCTCGACATTTGTTAAACTGTAGGAGGTGCCGTCTTGACTGGTTTTAGCTACAAGTGAGAACTTCTCTGCATCTAGCCTCTTCCATTGTATATTAAATGAACTTAGCTGACTGTTTGAAGACTAAGTCTCATGATTTATACCCTTGTTATGGGGTATGCTTCTTTGCATATGTAATTCTTATAAGATTTTTTTTTTTAATTAAAAAATTAATTATAATTAACTTTTTTTCAGCAAAATTTTTTTTTAACTAGATTTCTATACAAATAATGAATTTATCTATCATGTGCAATTTACAGAATGTAAATATCTTTTAAAATAAAAAAGTTTTGCTGATTTTAAGAATATTTTCTTCATGAATTTATGATTTTATCCGATCAATTTTCTGGTATTTGAGATGTCATAGATAAGGATCAATAACTCTTTAACTGTTGGATCAAATCTATTGAAACTTTGCACAATAACTACTGAGATGTATATCTTTATTTAATAAGTGCAGTTTTAAGTCTAGAAAAAAAATTAAAGTCTGACAGGAATAGGATCCCAGTTACGGCAACCAGTCCGGTACCTACGAATGTAGTTCTTAAAAAAAATATATAACTTTTATTTAAAATGGTGTAGTTTTATTATTACACAAGTTCTGTAACTGAATGTAGATTTACTTGAAAGGGTAGGCTTTCTAGCTTGAATTTCTGTAAAAATTTTGATTGATTTAAATGTAATCAGGCGTCGGTACATAGAGTAAATTGCCTAAATTCTAGCCTTTATTCTTCCCCGGAAGTAGATGGACCTACCCTGTTGTCAATCGAAACAAATTTTGCAACGGAATGCCGGTCATGAGGCACTGAGATTGTACTTAGAAACTTCGAAACAAATGCCTAACATGAAACAGAAGTCCCAAGGTGGCTATCAAAATTATTTATTGGACAGCACCCCATTTATTTACTATGATTTTCAATGCGTTTCAATGGGGGAAATAACTGGGTCCCCGTTCCTGTCAGAGGGCATATTTTGAACACTTCAATCTGCAATTGTAAGCTTATTTTTGGGGTTACATGGATGAAATTTGGGCAGAAACTTGAAAATTCAATAAGAAAAACAATGGTGTAATTATTTTTAAAATTTGAATTAAACTTTTTAAATTAAACTGAAATTTAAATTTATGAAATTTTTAAAAAGTTTGTTTTTCAATTTAAAGTTTCAGAAGGGGTCACAGTAAGGTCATTTTGATGGTATTATGTATTCATACACTTGTAAGTTAAAATGGAGGGATTTTTCAAAAAATATCAGCAAAGAATATTAGAAAAGAGCCACCTGGCAAGAAATAACAAATGTCTTATATGGGATCAGGGGACAACAAAAGATGGAAAATATGGGCTTATTTCTTTCCAGTATCATATTTCTGGGACCTGGAAAAAGAAAAAAGCCCATAGATTCAGTTTTATGGTTTTTAATTAGTTTTTGATAAGTTTTAATATTAAATACAACACTTTATGCCATTTTATGTGTCAAAAAAGTTTGTGGGAATGCGGGTCACATTACTGAAGAGCTGCATCACATAAATAACCACAGAATATTTCGTAAACTCAGAAAATCTTGCCAGGGGCTCTCCAATTTTCCAGATTGGGGCCTGGATTTTTTTGGAAGATATATAAGGGGTAGGGCTATAGCTTATATAAACAATTTTAACTGAATGTACAACAATTTTAGACTCCTTTTTAAAGATTTTGGTGGTCCTTAAAAGGACCGTTAATTTTGTCTGTATCTTTTTCAGCAGTAGATGAATGCAGCTATATCTTCCTTTGATTTTGGAACTTTTGAAGAACAGCTTCTGGTAGGTATATTCTTCATAGCAGGTATTACTCTACCATATGAATGATCGTCCTTTATGCTTTTACAAATGCAGCATCAAGTTTTGGATCAGGTTGCCCTTTTTCATATCTATCTGTACATTTACTTCGATCCTTTTCTTCCACATGAACCTTAGTCTTCTGTCCGGTGCGTTGTAAATTTTTCTTTTTCCTTTCTGGAGTATTTTGGTTTACTTTGTTCCGTTCACACTCCCTTTAAATCTGGTCGAAGTGTTTTAATGAACCTATTGAGATTTTAAAACCAATACATTCTGCTTTTTGTCACAAGGAATAAGCTATACCATTATTCAAATTGTGAATTATTGCTGATGCCCTCCCTTCAAATTTCTAGAAAAGTTCACATTCTTTGGTAAGGAAACACTTAGTGCTCCCTGAACAGCTTCACCTTTTTGAGTATTATGATTAAATTTCATTTTCATAAATACTTCTTCGCTAAGTTTCATTTTTAAAATTCCTGCATTATTAACTTGTCTTTGTTATCCATATTCAGGTTGGTTAACTTGTTTGGACCCAAGTACATAGATCTCAGCCACCAACAGTTTGAGTGTCCACCACCACCACACACGTATGAACTAGTGGGACATTTAGAGCAGTCACAAGTATACCAACGCACAGTAGCATTAAGCATTCAGGCAGATCCAGGATTTCCCTCGACATTTGTTAAACTGTAGGAGGTGCCGTCTTGACTGGTTTTAGCTACAAGTGAGAACTTCTCTGCATCTAGCCTCTTCCATTGTATATTAAATGAACTTAGCTGACTGTTTGAAGACTAAGTCTCATGATTTATACCCTTGTTATGGGGTATGCTTCTTTGCATATGTAATTCTTATAAGATTTTTTTTTTTAATTAAAAAATTAATTATAATTAACTTTTTTTCAGCAAAATTTTTTTTTAACTAGATTTCTATACAAATAATGAATTTATCTATCATGTGCAATTTACAGAATGTAAATATCTTTTAAAATAAAAAAGTTTTGCTGATTTTAAGAATATTTTCTTCATGAATTTATGATTTTATCCGATCAATTTTCTGGTATTTGAGATGTCATAGATAAGGATCAATAACTCTTTAACTGTTGGATCAAATCTATTGAAACTTTGCACAATAACTACTGAGATGTATATCTTTATTTAATAAGTGCAGTTTTAAGTCTAGAAAAAAAATTAAAGTCTGACAGGAATAGGATCCCAGTTACGGCAACCAGTCCGGTACCTACGAATGTAGTTCTTAAAAAAAATATATAACTTTTATTTAAAATGGTGTAGTTTTATTATTACACAAGTTCTGTAACTGAATGTAGATTTACTTGAAAGGGTAGGCTTTCTAGCTTGAATTTCTGTAAAAATTTTGATTGATTTAAATGTAATCAGGCGTCGGTACATAGAGTAAATTGCCTAAATTCTAGCCTTTATTCTTCCCCGGAAGTAGATGGACCTACCCTGTTGTCAATCGAAACAAATTTTGCAACGGAATGCCGGTCATGAGGCACTGAGATTGTACTTAGAAACTTCGAAACAAATGCCTAACATGAAACAGAAGTCCCAAGGTGGCTATCAAAATTATTTATTGGACAGCACCCCATTTATTTACTATGATTTTCAATGCGTTTCAATGGGGGAAATAACTGGGTCCCCGTTCCTGTCAGAGGGCATATTTTGAACACTTCAATCTGCAATTGTAAGCTTATTTTTGGGGTTACATGGATGAAATTTGGGCAGAAACTTGAAAATTCAATAAGAAAAACAATGGTGTAATTATTTTTAAAATTTGAATTAAACTTTTTAAATTAAACTGAAATTTAAATTTATGAAATTTTTAAAAAGTTTGTTTTTCAATTTAAAGTTTCAGAAGGGGTCACAGTAAGGTCATTTTGATGGTATTATGTATTCATACACTTGTAAGTTAAAATGGAGGGATTTTTCAAAAAATATCAGCAAAGAATATTAGAAAAGAGCCACCTGGCAAGAAATAACAAATGTCTTATATGGGATCAGGGGACAACAAAAGATGGAAAATATGGGCTTATTTCTTTCCAGTATCATATTTCTGGGACCTGGAAAAAGAAAAAAGCCCATAGATTCAGTTTTATGGTTTTTAATTAGTTTTTGATAAGTTTTAATATTAAATACAACACTTTATGCCATTTTATGTGTCAAAAAAGTTTGTGGGAATGCGGGTCACATTACTGAAGAGCTGCATCACATAAATAACCACAGAATATTTCGTAAACTCAGAAAATCTTGCCAGGGGCTCTCCAATTTTCCAGATTGGGGCCTGGATTTTTTTGGAAGATATATAAGGGGTAGGGCTATAGCTTATATAAACAATTTTAACTGAATGTACAACAATTTTAGACTCCTTTTTAAAGATTTTGGTGGTCCTTAAAAGGACCGTTAATTTTGTCTGTATCTTTTTCAGCAGTAGATGAATGCAGCTATATCTTCCTTTGATTTTGGAACTTTTGAAGAACAGCTTCTGGTAGGTATATTCTTCATAGCAGGTATTACTCTACCATATGAATGATCGTCCTTTATGCTTTTACAAATGCAGCATCAAGTTTTGGATCAGGTTGCCCTTTTTCATATCTATCTGTACATTTACTTCGATCCTTTTCTTCCACATGAACCTTAGTCTTCTGTCCGGTGCGTTGTAAATTTTTCTTTTTCCTTTCTGGAGTATTTTGGTTTACTTTGTTCCGTTCACACTCCCTTTAAATCTGGTCGAAGTGTTTTAATGAACCTATTGAGATTTTAAAACCAATACATTCTGCTTTTTGTCACAAGGAATAAGCTATACCATTATTCAAATTGTGAATTATTGCTGATGCCCTCCCTTCAAATTTCTAGAAAAGTTCACATTCTTTGGTAAGGAAACACTTAGTGCTCCCTGAACAGCTTCACCTTTTTGAGTATTATGATTAAATTTCATTTTCATAAATACTTCTTCGCTAAGTTTCATTTTTAAAATTCCTGCATTATTAACTTGTCTTTGTTATCCATATTCAGGTTGGTTAACTTGTTTGGACCCAAGTACATAGATCTCAGCCACCAACAGTTTGAGTGTCCACCACCACCACACACGTATGAACTAGTGGGACATTTAGAGCAGTCACAAGTATACCAACGCACAGTAGCATTAAGCATTCAGGCAGATCCAGGATTTCCCTCGACATTTGTTAAACTGTAGGAGGTGCCGTCTTGACTGGTTTTAGCTACAAGTGAGAACTTCTCTGCATCTAGCCTCTTCCATTGTATATTAAATGAACTTAGCTGACTGTTTGAAGACTAAGTCTCATGATTTATACCCTTGTTATGGGGTATGCTTCTTTGCATATGTAATTCTTATAAGATTTTTTTTTTTAATTAAAAAATTAATTATAATTAACTTTTTTTCAGCAAAATTTTTTTTTAACTAGATTTCTATACAAATAATGAATTTATCTATCATGTGCAATTTACAGAATGTAAATATCTTTTAAAATAAAAAAGTTTTGCTGATTTTAAGAATATTTTCTTCATGAATTTATGATTTTATCCGATCAATTTTCTGGTATTTGAGATGTCATAGATAAGGATCAATAACTCTTTAACTGTTGGATCAAATCTATTGAAACTTTGCACAATAACTACTGAGATGTATATCTTTATTTAATAAGTGCAGTTTTAAGTCTAGAAAAAAAATTAAAGTCTGACAGGAATAGGATCCCAGTTACGGCAACCAGTCCGGTACCTACGAATGTAGTTCTTAAAAAAAATATATAACTTTTATTTAAAATGGTGTAGTTTTATTATTACACAAGTTCTGTAACTGAATGTAGATTTACTTGAAAGGGTAGGCTTTCTAGCTTGAATTTCTGTAAAAATTTTGATTGATTTAAATGTAATCAGGCGTCGGTACATAGAGTAAATTGCCTAAATTCTAGCCTTTATTCTTCCCCGGAAGTAGATGGACCTACCCTGTTGTCAATCGAAACAAATTTTGCAACGGAATGCCGGTCATGAGGCACTGAGATTGTACTTAGAAACTTCGAAACAAATGCCTAACATGAAACAGAAGTCCCAAGGTGGCTATCAAAATTATTTATTGGACAGCACCCCATTTATTTACTATGATTTTCAATGCGTTTCAATGGGGGAAATAACTGGGTCCCCGTTCCTGTCAGAGGGCATATTTTGAACACTTCAATCTGCAATTGTAAGCTTATTTTTGGGGTTACATGGATGAAATTTGGGCAGAAACTTGAAAATTCAATAAGAAAAACAATGGTGTAATTATTTTTAAAATTTGAATTAAACTTTTTAAATTAAACTGAAATTTAAATTTATGAAATTTTTAAAAAGTTTGTTTTTCAATTTAAAGTTTCAGAAGGGGTCACAGTAAGGTCATTTTGATGGTATTATGTATTCATACACTTGTAAGTTAAAATGGAGGGATTTTTCAAAAAATATCAGCAAAGAATATTAGAAAAGAGCCACCTGGCAAGAAATAACAAATGTCTTATATGGGATCAGGGGACAACAAAAGATGGAAAATATGGGCTTATTTCTTTCCAGTATCATATTTCTGGGACCTGGAAAAAGAAAAAAGCCCATAGATTCAGTTTTATGGTTTTTAATTAGTTTTTGATAAGTTTTAATATTAAATACAACACTTTATGCCATTTTATGTGTCAAAAAAGTTTGTGGGAATGCGGGTCACATTACTGAAGAGCTGCATCACATAAATAACCACAGAATATTTCGTAAACTCAGAAAATCTTGCCAGGGGCTCTCCAATTTTCCAGATTGGGGCCTGGATTTTTTTGGAAGATATATAAGGGGTAGGGCTATAGCTTATATAAACAATTTTAACTGAATGTACAACAATTTTAGACTCCTTTTTAAAGATTTTGGTGGTCCTTAAAAGGACCGTTAATTTTGTCTGTATCTTTTTCAGCAGTAGATGAATGCAGCTATATCTTCCTTTGATTTTGGAACTTTTGAAGAACAGCTTCTGGTAGGTATATTCTTCATAGCAGGTATTACTCTACCATATGAATGATCGTCCTTTATGCTTTTACAAATGCAGCATCAAGTTTTGGATCAGGTTGCCCTTTTTCATATCTATCTGTACATTTACTTCGATCCTTTTCTTCCACATGAACCTTAGTCTTCTGTCCGGTGCGTTGTAAATTTTTCTTTTTCCTTTCTGGAGTATTTTGGTTTACTTTGTTCCGTTCACACTCCCTTTAAATCTGGTCGAAGTGTTTTAATGAACCTATTGAGATTTTAAAACCAATACATTCTGCTTTTTGTCACAAGGAATAAGCTATACCATTATTCAAATTGTGAATTATTGCTGATGCCCTCCCTTCAAATTTCTAGAAAAGTTCACATTCTTTGGTAAGGAAACACTTAGTGCTCCCTGAACAGCTTCACCTTTTTGAGTATTATGATTAAATTTCATTTTCATAAATACTTCTTCGCTAAGTTTCATTTTTAAAATTCCTGCATTATTAACTTGTCTTTGTTATCCATATTCAGGTTGGTTAACTTGTTTGGACCCAAGTACATAGATCTCAGCCACCAACAGTTTGAGTGTCCACCACCACCACACACGTATGAACTAGTGGGACATTTAGAGCAGTCACAAGTATACCAACGCACAGTAGCATTAAGCATTCAGGCAGATCCAGGATTTCCCTCGACATTTGTTAAACTGTAGGAGGTGCCGTCTTGACTGGTTTTAGCTACAAGTGAGAACTTCTCTGCATCTAGCCTCTTCCATTGTATATTAAATGAACTTAGCTGACTGTTTGAAGACTAAGTCTCATGATTTATACCCTTGTTATGGGGTATGCTTCTTTGCATATGTAATTCTTATAAGATTTTTTTTTTTAATTAAAAAATTAATTATAATTAACTTTTTTTCAGCAAAATTTTTTTTTAACTAGATTTCTATACAAATAATGAATTTATCTATCATGTGCAATTTACAGAATGTAAATATCTTTTAAAATAAAAAAGTTTTGCTGATTTTAAGAATATTTTCTTCATGAATTTATGATTTTATCCGATCAATTTTCTGGTATTTGAGATGTCATAGATAAGGATCAATAACTCTTTAACTGTTGGATCAAATCTATTGAAACTTTGCACAATAACTACTGAGATGTATATCTTTATTTAATAAGTGCAGTTTTAAGTCTAGAAAAAAAATTAAAGTCTGACAGGAATAGGATCCCAGTTACGGCAACCAGTCCGGTACCTACGAATGTAGTTCTTAAAAAAAATATATAACTTTTATTTAAAATGGTGTAGTTTTATTATTACACAAGTTCTGTAACTGAATGTAGATTTACTTGAAAGGGTAGGCTTTCTAGCTTGAATTTCTGTAAAAATTTTGATTGATTTAAATGTAATCAGGCGTCGGTACATAGAGTAAATTGCCTAAATTCTAGCCTTTATTCTTCCCCGGAAGTAGATGGACCTACCCTGTTGTCAATCGAAACAAAATTTTGCAACGGAATGCCGGTCATGAGGCACTGAGATTGTACTTAGAAACTTCGAAACAAATGCCTAACATGAAACAGAAGTCCCAAGGTGGCTATCAAAATTATTTATTGGACAGCACCCCATTTATTTACTATGATTTTCAATGCGTTTCAATGGGGGAGATAACTGGGTCCCCGTTCCTGTCAGAGGGCATATTTTGAACACTTCAATCTGCAATTGTAAGCTTATTTTTGGGGTTACATGGATGAAATTTGGGCAGAAACTTGAAAATTCAATAAGAAAAACAATGGTGTAATTATTTTTAAAAATTGAATTAAACTTTTTAAATTAAACTGAAATTTAAATTTATGAATTTTTAAAAAGTTTGTTTTTCAATTTAAAGTTTCAGAAGGGGTCACAGTAGGTCATTTTGATGGTATTATGTATTCATACACTTGTAAGTTTGTACTTCATGATCAAGTATCAATGTATATAAAGATCAAAATAAAATTTATAAAAGCTTGTTTTGCCGCCATCAATAAATAAAAAAGGTTTAATTATATACAAAGTGGCCAGGTATATTTACATCCTTGGTTTAACCTTACCACTACTAGAAGAATGAATAGGTCTATAGGAGAACCTAGTGATTTGGGAAGTGATGATGATTTAATTATCGACACATGATAGTGACATTCAGTCAGAGAACTCAGTCTTGCAAAAAATCTTTCAGTCTTAAATAATAAAATGAATTTTGATGTGGTATTCTTTAATCATTGTTAATTACTGAGTAACAAACAAATTCATATAACATATAACAAAATGCTCCCTTCATTAGGTACAATCAAAGCTCAAGTGTTATAAGGGCATATCATCAATATGTAAGATTTTCAATTATGAATTCGGACAAGTGAGTTAAGAGTTCGGAAAAGTTGATTTTCTTGCAACTTGTCCAATGGGACAAGTTAAAAAAAATGATAATGTAGAGGCCTGCCTACTACAGCTTAGATATAAGTAGGTTTATAATTCTGTTTTTGAATCAATGGATATGTTCATTATACTATAAAAAAAATATAGGGAAAATAATGTGCCCTGAGGATTGAAAAAATATGTAATCAGTATCGTTATTATGTTACAATAAACCTTTATAAATATAAGGAGATGTCGTATGATTGCCAATGAGACAACTATCCACCAAAGTTTAAATGAAGTGGATGACATAAATTATAGACAACCAAACAGCTTCAACAATGAGAAAAACCCATACCGTATAGTCCACTGTAAAAGGCCCCGACATGAAAAAATGGGAAACAATTCAATAGAATTATGACATACATGAACCAAATACAACCACTGAACTACAGGCTCCTGACTGGGGACAGGCGCATAAAGAATGTGGCGATGTTAAACATGTTTGTGAGCGCTCAACCCTGCCCTAACCTGGGACAGTGGTGTTCAGCACAACATAAGATCATTGGTTTACAATGTTATATTCTCACGGCTATAATGCCATATTGCTGTGAAAATATAACAGATCAATTGAAGCACCGATAGTTTTCTTAAACACGTATATGTTATTAATATACTGTTTTGTTAAAGAAATCTTTCGTGCTAGGATTGATATGTAAAAGGAATAAATCAAACAAGTACATTTTTATGCCTTTGCCGTATTGGAGGGGGCATTAAGTGTTACCCTTGTCCGTCTGTCTGTCCCGTCCATCTCAAAAATTGGTTTCCATTCTCTAACTTTAGTTTGCCTCAACCAAATGTTATGAACTTATACACAATGCTTATGATCACAAAACGATCTATGTGGAAGTTGACTCATGCATATTTACAAGCGGGGGCATCTGTGGCCCATAGACACATTCTCCATTTATTTTATTATTTGTTTATAGGCTGATGTAATGACAATGATTTCATGGTGTTGGGAGTAAGAATTGGAGATCTGATACTGCTAACATGTTGGTAGGTATACAAACTTTTTTTAATCTATTAGTGTTTGATATCAATTTAATAATGGTTCAGGTATCAGAAAAGATTGAATTACATGGAGATATTCAGCTCCAGAGGAAAGAGGGTATATGATTGTCCAAAATGGTAAAAATACTGCCAAGCTTAGAAAAGAGAAATTGTTTTTGACTTTTTTTTTCTATTTGTCAAGTTTTAAACTGAATACCCACTAGATTTCGTGAGTAATAGTGAACCACAAATTTTAAATGTTCAACAACGAAGTACCAATTTTCTATCAATCGACTTTCAATCAAATATCCACAGAATCCAATTTTTCCTCAATCCCCATGATTGTTGAATATTAAATGAATCCACAGAAATTCGATTTTCCCTCAATGCCCATTAAAATATCTGAATCCACAGTAGATTATTTTGAGGAGTTTAAATAACTGATTCAACTTTGTATTACAGGTTAGCATCACAGCTTGTCCATAGGGATACTGGCTGGGGTAGCATTTGGATCTGTTTCAAGGTGAGAATATATTTATTCATCCACATACAAATTTAATCAATTGATGAAATCTTGTGGACAGTTTAACTTTCTATAAATCTTTATTGTTTGCAATTTATATCGTCTTGATATTTTCTACTGTTACCTTAATAGATGTAAACAGATATTTTTATAGTTGAGAAGGTTTATAGTCCTTTTTAACTACTTTCACTTATTCCATCTTTAAACTTTTGCCAAATGACCATGTACTGAATCATAAAGAGAATCATTGTTTTTATGATAATAAAGAATTTTGTTTACTTGTAAAGGGGAGATACCCTCACATTCATTTGCAAGTGCTGTTACAAAGATAAGATGTCTAATTATATTAAACTTTGCTTCTTATTCAGTTTTGTATTTCTTTCAATACAAATTTCCAAAGAATTCATTTCTTCAGTCAATATATGGAGAAAACAAAGTAAATGTCATAAAACTTGAACTAAACAATGAAAGTTTATCAAAATAGCCTGAATTATTTTACCATGTATGTACATTTTTCAAATTTTCAGCTTAATAACTTCTGCAATTGTCTGAAACTCAATGAATGATTAATGCGATACCGGTAATAGTAATTTTAACACCTTGAAAATCAAAATTGGTATATTAAGATTGCTTTCCATTTTATAACAAATTTAGCTGCACGATTTCTATTGCAATATTTTTTGGTAAATCAATAAATTTGAATAGAAAACAAGTATTTTTACATACAACAATATCTGTCTATTTAAAAGAAAAATTGCCACTCAAATATTTAAACATTACCTAATTCATATATTTTAACATTACTTAATAACTTTGAATTGTCAACAAATGAAATATTATTTTATTCCTTTTACAGGTGTGTTCCTGCTGCTGCCTTGTGTGTTCAATCCTGTGGACAATAATAATCATGCAAACCACATATATGTTGCATTTTTGTTTATTAAAATCCTTAAGTGATAATTCTGAAAGCCAAATGATTAATTTTTTAATGCTATTATTTATTTTCCATTTACTGTAAACTCACAAATTTTTGTTTTTTAATGCTGTTATTTATTTTCCAATTATTGAAAATTCACAGATTTTTGATATATTTTTTTTACTGAAAATTGCTACACCGAGATAGATTTTGCAAAAATAAAATTATATTTTAAATTTTGATAGCATTATTTATTTGCAACATGTCCTTAATGACAATAATTAATTTAAATAAATGCTTGCAAATTTTTTTTGAATTTACAGTATAAACATGTTTTCATTATTTATATATGCATGATATTATTATACATTGTATTTTGCTTTATAATAAACAAAATTGTATAATAGTTGTTATTTGAGAAGTACCAGTGTACTGTTTTACAAAGCATCCATTAGACTTTCATCAGTTTACAGACGTCATTATTGTGAACCAAATGATACTTTCCACAGATTCACTTGAAAGTTACCTGTCGATTTAAACTTTTGTAAGTTCTTTTGTCCCATCTAATAAATATAATAGCTATTGTTCTCTGTGGAGTTATTTCACTGGGACCTTTAAATTTCTTCTAAGATAAATCTATCACTCATTGATTAATTTAACTGAACAAAAAATCAAACTTTCAATGGTGAAAATACATGTACCAATACTAAATAAGGACTCACAAAAACGCATGTGATGTTGTATTTATTCAATATCAATAATACATTTTCAATTTGTTCAATATAATTAACACTTATTCAAAATTTAAAAGTTGATTTATGACAAAATTTTCAACATTGTTCCTATTAAAATTTGTCTTTTTGTGTGTTTGACAAATAAGAACTAGAAAATGACGATGTTTAGATCAAGGCCTTCTTAAATGTATTCTATAACTAAATAAACAGCTGCGCCACGAGCGCATGATATGCTCGTCGTCTTGTGTGTGAGGTTTTATGCAATAATCATAAATAGTTTCTGAGATACGGCGCGACATGTGAAAACTCCCCTTTTTTTTAATAAAAAAATCAATAACTCTAAAATAAAATTTTGAATCATCACCAAAAAGTGTATACAGATCTTTAGATTAATATAATTAAGAAGTGTGTAAAGTTTTAAGCAATAATCGTAAATCGTTTTTGAGATAAGGCGCGATATGTGAAAAATACATACCCCTGTTTTAGTTACACAAAGTTCTGTATCTCAAAAAATTTTAATCTTATTTTCATCAAAAAGTATACAGATCGTTTGACCATCATAAGAAACAACTATATTAAGTTTCATGAAATTTGGATAAGTTGTTCTCAAGTTGAGGTGGGACATGTGGACGCCGGACATTTGTATACCATAATATTGACGGCGAATAACAAACACACATAAATTGCAAATTTCAATAGGAACAATGATAAAATTTTTGTCATATGATTAAATCAATGTTATATTAAACAGATTGAAAATATGTTATTTATATTGAAGAATAATACAACATCACATGCAGTTCTGTGAGTAATAATACATGTATTTTCATCAATTTAGAAGATCACTTTTTAACTCGGGTAAATTAATCAATGAGTGATAGATTTCTCTTAGAAGAAATTTAAAGGTCCCAGTGAATAAACTGCACAGAGAACAATAGCTATTGTTTTTATTAGATGGGACAAAAGAACTTACAAAAGTTTAAATCGACAGGTAACTTTCGAGTCAATCTGCGGAAAAGTATCCTTTGGTACGCAATAAAAGTTTTGCATGTTGGCACAGTGAAACACAGTGTGTCTGTTGAAGATGATGGTGTTTGATATAGATAGGTTTGTTTAAAAATAATATGTTCCACAGGGTGCAGCTTGATACGACCTGAACACTTAGGGCACTAGTATGATACAGCTCAGAATTTTGATTGTGATGCAATATTTGACACAGCATACATAGGTTTCTGACAAAAAAATTAGAATGAATGTGGTCTAAGAACTTAAAAATTTGAAATTGGACATTTACTTATTATGGTCCAATATCCAAAATATAAATGCATGGTTAGATTCAGCATATCAAAGAATTCAATTATTGATGAAATCAAACAAAGCTTAATTTTGGACCCTTGGACCTCAATGTGAACCAATTTGATAGTGAGCCCAAAATCCAAAATCTAAAGACATGGTTTGATTCAGCATTATAAAGACCCCAAGAATTCAAGACTTGGAATTAAACCCGGGGTCCCCATTCAAATTGGTCAAGAAATACTGTAAATTCAGAAATTATTGCAATTTTTTTTAAAATGGACAAAAATGCGAGATTTATTATTGTTATTTCATGAAAATCTGCATACATATCTTTGTATCAGATATAAGAATCACAAGTTATTATTGTGATACTCAATCAGTTGGATTATTTGCATTAATAAAAAGTTCGCAATTATTTCTGAATTGACAGTAAGCAATTTATACAAAGTATTAGAAAAGTATTATTTTTGGTCCTTATTCATAAACGGTCAGGGCCATAATCCCCAAAATTAATCCCAACTTTTCAGTTTTGGTATGGAACCTAGTGGTATAATTTCATAGACTTATACTTGGGGAGCTACCATTTGATTTTTATGGGGGGCTAGGATCGAAAATTTTGTCCTGCCTTTTTATTTTTCCCTCTATTCGGTCCTGCCTTTTTATTGTTCCCTCTATTCGGTCCTGCCTTTTTTTTTTTAATTTATCCTGACTTTTTTATTAAACTAAATTGTCATCCTGCCTTTTTTTTTGCAAATAATCTCATACTGCCTTTTGTTTTACTCAAAACTCCTGTCCAGCCTATTTTTTTCAAATTTCATCCTAGCCTCCCCCCCCTAAAAATCAAATGGTAGCTCCCTTAAGTTATTGTCTTGATACCAGAAAATCCTTGTTTTTTGCCCCTTAATTCCTTTATTCCGATGTTGTGTTTTGTGTACTATTGTTTGTCTGTTGGTCTTTTTCTTTTTTAGCCATGGCGTTGTCAGTTTATGAGTTTGAATGTCACTCTGGTATCTTTCGCCTCTCTTTTTTAACGGTTTGGGCCATTACCCTCAAAATCAATCCCAACCTTCCTTTTGAGGTATAGAACCATGTGGTACAATTTCATAGAGCGTCCTATTGTGTACTTACTAACCTTTGAACAGTTCTATATTTGAAGATTATTTTAGGTCAAAAGTTACCAAAGCTATAGTTCGGCAAGGTCACATTTTAACGTGGCCTACTCTTCACCTTCCTCAAATTTCATTTAAACCTCGCTTTGAATTTATATGTTGTGCTGGATGTATAGATATGAGACACGTCCTATCGGAATGGAAACGTAAAATCCAATGCCTCATGCAGGCAAATGCCACGCACTGCACGTTAAAGAATCCTTGTAATATCTCCTTAAGATGTCTGTAATTATTGGTGGCCTGTTGTAAGGTAAATTTCTGCCCTATCTCGCACATCCTCTCTCAAAAGAGGCAGTTTATATTTGTGCTAACAAGCCTTGAAGAATTGACGTATTTTGTTTTCGTCCTGAGTATGCAAGAAATACTGCCACTATGTATTCAACATGAACAAGAAACATTTGTTCTTTTATGCATAGATGTACTGTGATCCACAAAATTTGAAAAGTAAAATTAACAAAAATACTGCACTCCAAGGAAAATTCAAAACGGAAAGTCCCTTAATATATATCAAATGGCAAAAATCACAAGCTCAAACAATACAAGTATATACGGGAAATATACATGGGATCCCTTTCATTTAAATAAAAGTAAACTGATAACCATGACAATAACTTAAAAATATTTTCAGTGAATCAGTTTAAAGAGAGTCGTAATGGGGGTACCTTCATGACGAATAACGATAAAAAATCTAGCCAAATGACGTTAACGAGAGTTTTAAGTGCATGATGATAAAATGTACTGTACCCTTTCTTTATGACGATAAAGCAATATACTGATATTGACTAATCATGTTAAATTCTTTCCAAAAAAAATGGTAACGATAAATTATTTGAGACCTCTGATGAATCACGATAAAATTTTAACCAATTTGATGTTAACGGTAGCCGAATATGACCGTTTGACGCCTGACGGTAAAGGGCATCCCTACACACTTTAAATAAGGGGAAAATAAACATGGGCAATAGCGAAATGAATATTAGTTCTAGCTGCTACTACTACTACTATAACAAAGAGAGTGGATTAGGTGGCTGCCTTGATAAATCATCTGGGAAAGATTTAATTTTTTTTAAACTGTGTCAAATATCTATGATATAAGTAAAGAAAATGCAAATTTAAAGTCACCTAAAGGAAATTTGGAAATTGAATCAAACAAATATTTAATAGGATTTGAAATTTTATGTTAGTTATATTTTTTGTATCCAAGTTACACATACTAAATTGAAAATAAGTTTTATAAGTATCAACAAAATCAATAATGGCAAAGTGAAATATCATCATGATCATAGTTTTGAATTTTTGAGAATCAAAGATTTATAGAAATGTTTTTAATTAAAAAGGATCAATAAAGCAGGTATTGAGTACAGGGTTGAAGCATTTATTTTATACCTCCGAGTAAAACTGGAACCTGATAGAATGCATAGCAACGTGTAATAACATTGAATTTATGGATTCATATGTTCAACTATACCACTGGATGTACCAGTAGAATAAAAATTTCTGGACTGGTAATCACAATTTGTATAAAGTATAAAGTATATGAAATTAAAGAACACTGTGGTAGTATATATAGCCGGGCCATGCTTTCAATGGGGATGATGCGGCTTTATAGCTTGGCATATATACTTATTGACGTCATAATCACCATGTAAAACGCCATAAGTGAGTGTTTACTGTATACGATCGAAGTAAAAGGCAGAATTTTCTTGTTTCAGGGGGGATCAAATGTTCATGGGATTCAAAATACCTTATATGACAGATATTTAATTGACAATTTTGTTCAAATAAATGATGCAGTAATTGTAGACCAATGGTTTTTGTGTAATCATAATTTGTTCTTGGTCCCCTTATACTAGCAGGACTCAACTTAACTTATTTATACTGGACCCTTAATTATCTGGACCATACTAACTAAGTCTAATAATCTGCCAGTCTGTTATAGTCTTAGCCCCATTCTCTGTCTGTACTTAACCAGTTTTTAATGTCTGAACCATATTCGACCAACGGTTGGCTTGTACTCAACCAGTTTTATATTTAATTTTTTTTCAATCTTGATTTTGTATAGTCTGTTATTATTATAAACAATGAAATTATCTGAAATTTAAAAATTTGTTTTTAA